CTCTCTCTCTCTCTCTCTCTCTCTCTCTCTCTCTCTCTCGGCTTCTCTTTTGTTTTTTGAGGCAGAGTCTCCCTAAGTTTCTACGTTGCCCAAGCGTCCTCCTAACTCAGCCTTTTGACAGGCTTCTGCCACCATGCCTGGCTTTGTATGTTTATTTTATTCCATGGCCCAAGCAACCTTGGGAAACAACTGGATCACAAATTAGTTTCCTTATTTTAAATATTAGGAAACCGAATCTTCTAGTGCCCAAAATCAAGCAGCTATTAAGTAACAGGAACTAAAGCCCAGTTATTTTTTCGCAACTTTCTTTTCATGTATTGCCTTTTCATGTATTGCACCTACGTAAGAAGTATGCTCCAGCTATACAAAAAGGATATTTAGAGAGGAAACTACAGTCTCAGTGGTCAAGTAATTTCAGTTGAGCAAGCAAATACTTTTATTTGAAATTTGTTTCCCCCAGTAGCACAGTAGAATTCTTGGCACATGGCAGCAATGAATGTTTTTTGGTTACCTATCAAAATGCAAACATGGGTGTTGTGCAGAGTGCCAGATAAAGGCAAGTAAAAAGTGTGAGAGAAAAAATAATGAAAATAGCTTAACCAATTACTACTCAGGTCTGGGATTTGAGTTTATTTTACTGATAGGTAATAAATTAGTCTCTTGCTGTTTCATGGGTGCTGTAAAAGACACAAGATTCCTGGTTCAGAGGCAAAGGACTACTAGTCACAGCACAGGAAGCAACTCATGCATTAGCACATTTGTGTCAGTTCCTCTTGCCTGCCAGGTACCATGTGAATGAAATAAAGGTCTCAGGTGAATGTTATTTAGTGGATTTACATCACAGCTAGAGAACACTGAGCATGGGGAAGCTGCCATTTTATGGGAAGCAGTAAGAAAACCTGTTCTGTATCCTGGACGGAGACATTATTTCATCTCTCAGGGTTGCTTACTACAAACACAACCCACACCCCTGAGAAAAGACATTGGTAAAAAGCAGTCAAGATGGGGTGCATTCTTGGCACACCCTGGAAGATGAGACGCATGAGGGGCCATCTCTCTCAACATGACTATTGGCCAAACTCTATTCTAAGCACTTTACCTCTGTTATCTCATTAAATCCTTACAACCCTATAATGTCCCCTATTTTATAGATGAATAAGGATGCATAGTGAAGTCACAGCTAATAAACAAGGAATCCAGGAGAAGCATGGGTCTGATGACTTGTAAAATCCACAAGCAACCCCCTAAAAAAAGTTATTGACTGTGTTAGCCTTCTCCAGAATTGCTGGAGGGCAGGGGAGATGGACCTAGTAAAAAAAAATTAGGAGAGCTCACAAGATGTGAGATGAGGATTCAAAGTCATTATAATTAGAACATTAAAATGAGTGTGACCTTATTTTACAACCAACCTAATGAAGAAGGATCTTGATTAGTTACACAAATATGAAAATAATAAAGTTGGAATAAGAGTTTTGCTCCAAAATTATAATGAAATTTGGTTTGGACCTGAATCATTGGGTTTAACTGGGATGTGAAGGGACTTAGCCTACTAAATCAGGTGTCAGGCAAAGGAAAAGGAAGGGAACCGTCATTAAAAGAGCTAGCTTTTTCATTTAGTTACTTAATAAAAATATACCAAATGCCTGTTTTGTTCTAGGATTTGTAACTGGCTGGTGATGCAGAGGTGAATAAATAGCTACAAACTCCCACGGGCAATAGCACAGAGCCAAACTTGGCAGTTCCCCTTCTAGGAGCTCCTTCTACTGTTACACTTGCACACATGTAAAAGGACATTTTTGTGAAGTTACATTCAGTGAAGTCATTTTTTATTTTTTTAAAAAAGATTGGAAACAACCTAGTAGTCATAGGTTAAATTATGATCCATCCACAGTGGAAAACGGAATCACTGTAAACAGAGCATGAGGAAACTCTTCGTGCGCTGATGCAGAATAATCTCGTGGAGACCGAACATGGTTAAGTGAAACAAGGTACAGCACAGGCTATGGAACAGAATAGCATCAGAGTATGAAAGAGGAACCTTATATGTGTTTATATTGTTAGAAGTATACACACCAAATTGGTAACGCTGGTGGCCACTGAGAAGGGAGACTGGTCTGCTGGGCTGGGGAGAGTTTGGAGGTAGATTTTTCACTTTATTCTGTTTGTTACTGTTTTCTAACCACTAAATTTTCAGCTAGATGAATGTTTTACCTATTGAAAAAAATATGTACATAAAATACCCAAGAAGGATCAAACTGGAAGAAAAAGTAGTAGGATCACCAAAATTACAAAATAAAATGAAACACCATTACTGTGCTCAAGAACTCAGTCTAGCAGGAGAGACAGCAAAAGACAAAATAATTACGACACAGTGTAATGATGGTGGTGACAGAGGCCTGCAAGCACCCAGGGTGAGGAGTTAGGGAAGCTGTTTTGTGAAATGGGAGAGCTGAGCTGAGTTATCCACAAGAGGAGTCGTCGAGGCAGAGGCAGGGCATTTCTGACAAGGAGAATGGCATGTGCAGAGATTTGAAAGGGCCCAGTGTGGTCTGAGGCCATCCAGTCAGCAGGATGGGCACGGAGAGAACAGGGCAGAAAGTGGGTGGGGCAGGTGGGCAAGAGTCACCTGGAGTGTAGTGTCCAGGAGTTTGGATTTCATTTCTAAGAATTTAGGAGCCTCTGAAAGCTTTTAGACAGAACAGCTGTATTATGGGGTCTGTGCTTCAGCAAGTTCATTCTGCAGGATGTGTGGAGAATGAATTGAGATAGGAAGATCAGCTAAGAAGCAATAGCGGTGATTCAGGTAAGAATGAATGGGACTCAAATTAGGGCAGTAGCTGTGGGAATACAAGGAGGGGATACACAGGAGGGGAAGATGGTGACCACCGGGACCACCCTCGAGTTCGAGGGTAAGGGAGGCAGGGAGGATGTAAGGGTCCCCAAGACGGGGTATGAAAAGGAAGAAGTTTGCAGGAAGACAATGAGCTTAGCTTGGGACCTGTAGTTATTTGGGGCTTGCAGAAGATTCCGGAATCCTTTAGGGATTTGTTGGATGCTGAGTCTAGGGATGGGGAAGCGGTCTGGGCCACAGGGATTTGGGAGCCTCGCCCTGGGCAGGGGCAGATGAAAGTCCAAGGTAGAGCGTGGAGTGGAATGACAGGGACACCCAGGCCAAACCCAGGCACTCCCCCCACCCAGTCCCATTCAGGAGACACCAAGAGGAAGGCGATTCTGTAAACGATTAAGAGGAGTCAGAACGGGGACCCAGGGAGTCTTACGAGGGCTTGGTTTGGATTTTGACACAAGGTGTTGCTGTGCCGCCCAGGCCCAAGGGGTCCTCCCTCTTCACCCCCAGGTCACTGGGACTTCGGCCTGCACCGCTGCGCCCATCCAGGTCTCGGCACACAGTGGAGCCGCCCGCCCTCGGAAACAGCACCCAGACGGGCGAGCAGAGCGCTTCCCATCCAGAGCTGGTTTGTTGTCAGTGGAAGTATTGTTGAGAAACTAGGCTCAAATAACAAGCAGGCCGCAATCACGCTGCTAGTTAATAGCAAAACTGGTCTTTGAACCCAGATGTTCTGACCCCAAGGCCAGGACACTTTCTTCACTATCACGCTTCCTTGTGGTTAAATAAGAAAGAATCCCTCCTGCTCTGCTCGGTCTGCAGGGTCAGTAGCTTTCCATGGCCTTCCTGAGTAGGAATTCCTGCTTAGGTGAGAACCAAGCGTCTTCACTTGCGCTCGCTGGTCCTCCAGGTCCCTCCTTTCTGTTTCCTCTTTGCAGGTCTGCAGCCCTCGCTGTGCCCTCCATCCACCTCCTCGAGGACTCCACTTCGCTCTGCCAGTTTGAGGCAAGTACACCTGTAGGTGCCCCCCTGTGAGTCATGCTCTTATGCAATCCCCTCCTTCAGGGCAAACGGAAACCAGAGCGAGCTTCTAGGCAATAAAATACGGCAAAGGCGGTGATGTGTCACTCCCGTGACTCTGTCACCTCACGGGACACTGCACTCCTTCCCGGCTGACCAGAAAGGAGTGCTGGGCATGGTAGCACGTGTCTGTAAGTCCAGTACTCGGGAGGCTGAGGCAGGAGAATCACAAGTTTGAGGCCAGCCTGGGCAACTTAAGACACCATTTACAGAAAAAAGAAAGAAAGAAAGAAAAAAAATTAAATTAAATAAAAATAAAAAAGAAATGGAGGGAGGAGGAGAAGAAAGGCACCCCAGCCAGGACCTTGACTCCTGGTATTAACCAAAACTCTGAGATTCTGAATGCATATTTTAAGCTGCTGAATTGTAGTGATTGGTTATGCAGCAATAACTAATGAAACTCCTATTGTACCACTCAGTTTAGACCACAATATCATAACACCAAGTTTAGCTTTACTTCTCCAATCTGAACATAAGCTTCTTGAGAACAAAGAACAGGCCACAGGTGACCTGTCCTGCCATTCTACACTCGGACTCTGTGGGTCAGAAGCTCAAACAGGACGCAGGAGAGATGGCTTGTGTGTGCTCGTGAGGCCCGGAGCTTCCCTTGGAAGACTCACAGGCTAAGGGCGACTGGATGGCTGGGGCCTGGCCACATCTTGAAATGTGAGGAGTTGGTGGGCTCGTCACGTGGCTTCTTAGCGTCCTCTAGGACCAACAGGAATGTCCAGAGAGAATAAAGCACCTGTATGACCCCCGCTTGCCAGTCAGAAAGCATCACTTCTGCCATATTGTTTAGTCACAAGGTTCTGCCCAGCTCCCTGCAGAGGAGAGGACATAAACACCACTGCTGGATGACAGGGGAGTCAGTGCTGCATCATAATTGGAGCATGTGGGATGGGGTGAGCTGGTGGGCATGGCTGGGAAATATGATTGGCCACACTGGGATTTTTCATAGATTTAAAACAAATGCGACAGGAATCAAGGTCTTAAGGTCTGATCCAGAGAACTCAGGGCTACTTCTCTTCTCTCCACTTCTCTTTGTCTCTCAGCAAAAATACCCATATTTTTCTCAGCCTCTGTGTAGTTTCCCAGAGGACTCTGGTCTTTCTTTGGGTTATGTGCCCCTCCTTGGATTGGTTATCTGAGCAGATATGATTATCCCACCCTGGATCACATGCCTGGGGCACAGGCCTAGAGGCAGGCTCGCTTGGGAAACTGTAGACAGCGCAGTTTACCACACGTTTAACTTCAGCGACCATTTACGTCAGAGGAATGGCATCAGAAAGCAGGACAAGGTGCTGTAAGAGCCAGCCCTTGTCTTGACAATGGGAAACCCAGAAAATCTCAGAGAATGGTGTGTGGAAAAGTGAGAGAACCACATGGTATGAAGACCACCAGGTGAAGAACTTTGAAGTGCTACAACCAGAAAGTGCTGACGGAGAGCCAACATGATTCCTTCCACACAGAGCTGAGAAGTAATACAATAGGTCGGGTCTCCCCATAATAAAACAAAACAAATAAACAGGAAACCAGTGGGGTTTCTGAGTTGTGGTCATCATCTGATGGAAAAGAATGTGAGACTTGGGTCATCTGCATGTTCCTGTTTAGTTTTAACCCTGTCATTAAGAAGCTTTTGGGCCAGGGATTTAGCCCAGTGGTTTCGCCGCCTGCTGCGCAAGTGCAAGGACCTGAGTTCAATCTCCAGTATCAAAAAAAAAAAAGAAGCTTTTGACTACAGGTACAGAAAATTCAAAGTGGTTTCAACAATAAGGAAATGTGTAACCTCAAATAAGTAGTAAGATTCCGTTAGGTGAGGAGTCCCAGACTCAGTTAATTCAGCATCTCGTTCACATAGAGGATCCAGGTTCCTTCCATCTCTTCCTTGTGCCATCTCCCGTGTATCATCCAGGCCACTTGGCTAACTCCCCTCATGGTGCCAAGATGGCTGCTGAGCTCTAGCTGTCACCCATACATGATCTCAATACTGAGAAACAGAAAATAGGAAGCTTCTCGTGCCTACTTGTAGATAAACCCTTCATAGTAACCTTGCATCACCTGCTAATCTTGTCAACCAGTTACTGGCAAAGGAGCCAAAAGTCCCATGATTGACTTAAACTAATCAAGACTTACTTGTGGGGCTGAGACTAGACTTGTCCTTGTGTGTGTTCCCTGCCAGTGAATACCAGAAGAAAATTGGGGCTCTGCAAAAACAAAGAAAGGCGGAAACAAAGAGGGATAGGGCAGGATGGATTGGACAAGCACGAAATTTACCAAGTGCATTTCTCTTCCACTTAGTTGTTGCAGCTCTAGAGATGATGGTATCTACTTCATCTACACATAGATGACATAAGATTTTACAGGACATTTATCAAAATAGTTTAATTAAAACACTGAGGCACATGCTATAATGTGGATGGACCTTGAAGATACAATGATAAATAAAATAAGCCAGTCACAGAAAGGCAAATATTACATGAGGTTCGCCAAGTAGATGTTATGATTTGTTTGATGGTGGTCTCAAGAGCTCATGTGCTCATAGGCAGGGCTTCTGGAAGGTGACTGGACCGTGGGGCACTACAGCTAAGGCACTGCTGGGAGGCAGGGTCTGGTCAGAAGCTTCAGTCACTGGGGGCGTGAGCAGGAAGGGTGCATCTCCCTCCCGGCTCCTCCTCCTCTCTGCTTCCTGGCCCCCATGAGGTGACCAGGTTTCCTCCACCAGACCCTTCCACTGTGTCTGCCTGCCTTGAGCCCACCAACTGAGGACTGAAAACGTGAGCTGAGATAAAGCTGAAAGATGAAAGGTTCCAGAGATGGAGGGTGGTCACGGTGGTTATATGGCAATGTATATATTTTGGTTTTGTTTTTTGGTACTGGGGATCCAACTCCGGTCCTTGCACTTTCGAGCCAGACAGCGGAACCACTGAGCTAAATCCCCGGCTCTTACAACAATGTAAATGTACTTGATGCCACTCCATTGTATGCTTTTAAAATGGTAAGTTATTTTATGTATAGCTTACTGCAATAAAAATATGTTAAAACAGGGCCGGGGATTTAGCTCCATGGTCCTGCCACCTGCCTCGCAAGCTCAAGGTCCCAAGTTAGATCCCCGGTACCAAAAAAAAAAAGTTAAAACAGCAAAACTGTTTAAGATCTACAGCAGCAAAATTGTGCTCATCTTGAAAAGATAAATGTAAGTTCTTGGCTTTCTCTAATCACCATTATCTTGAACTTCTGCCTATTTATTTTAGGTGATAGCCACTTCCTAGCCTTGGGTTATCACCTCCATCCTCCCCTTCCCTCTTTCCTCAGATCCACTGTTTGCTCTTTTCTTTGTTTTGAGGCAGGGTCTCACTACATGGTCCAGGCTGGCCTTGAACTCCTGAGCTCAATCGAACCTCCTGGCTCAGCTTCCCAAGCACTATAACTCACAGGTGCACGTCACCATGTGAGTATCCACAGTTGTTTTGACTCAAGTGCAATTTAAGAAACACCAGGCATGGTGGTGCATGCTTATAATCCCAGCACTCGGGAGGCTGAGGCAGGAGGATCACTGTGAGTTTGAGGCCAGCCTAGGCTACACAGTGAGTTCAAGGCCAGCCCGAACTACTTGAGATCCTCTCAAAAAAAGTTTCCTTTGTGCACAGAATGGCGTCCTGTGCTTCCTCTTACCTTTGCCCTTGAAGGCTACCTGTTCCTTTTCTCCTTTGTCTTCAGGTCCTAGTTCATCCAAGCTGGGATCCCCACGGAGAACCATGGGGACAGGAGGGGAGAGGAAGGCTCAGAGATAGAAGCACACACCAAGCACCCATGGGCATCAGCAGCCCTCACAACCCTTAAGTACTGACAACACATAGGAATGGTTATGGCCCCTCAGGCATCTGCAAACAAGGCGGAGCTGTGAGGAGTTGGGTGGACACTGGGCAGCAGGGAGGGCCAGGCCACTCCACCGCACATGCAGTGCTCAGAGCTGAGAAGAGCCCATCGCATCCCACCACCCAAACTTGCACTCGGAGGCCATCTGCTCACACTTAACCTAATCACTCCAGACAGTTTTTCTGAAAAGCGTCATGAAGACCTTCAGCATGAAGCACCCACCAGTGCCTTAAACTCCTGCCCCAGGGCTAAATCACACCATGAGAGCTTCTCTTCTTCTCCCAGCACACGCAAGGTCCTGAGTTGGATCCCTATGACCATCAAATCAAAATAGCTGGCCTCAGACGGTTTCCAGTGGCTCATCCTGCCCGGAGCACAGACACTAAATGTTAACATCCAGTTGTCTGCACTTAGCTCCTGGTGCCAGGTGACTGCCCCAGGGCTCCCTCTGGGAGTGATTGTCTTTTCTTCAATGATGCCAGTCAACCACCTGGCAAAACATCATGCTGGTGACAGGAAAGGGAATTCACTTCATTCCTCCAGCATGGATGGAGGACCCACGACCGAACACCAGACCTGGGCCAGAGCCTGCGGCGTGGAGCTGAGTAATCAACCCCTGCCCACTGGGGATTCTCAGGTCTGGGGGGAGAGGCAGACATGAAAACAAACACGTCCTGTACAGTGCCATTAGTCTTGTACCAGCCGCCTCGGGAGCCCAGAGTAACGAACACCATCTGGGGGGTTCCCAGGGGACTCAGGGAAGGCCTTACTGCACGGGTGCCTCTGAGCGGAGGTCTGCAAGGATGACTGAAAGCTTCCAAGCAGGATAAGACAAGGGAAAGAATTAATTCTCCTCAGAAGGAACCACCTGTGGAAAAGCAGAGAGGTGAAGAAGGACACGGCGTGTCTCAGAAACAAACGGCAAGGTAGCAGAGGTCCAGACAGGAGCCCAAGCAAGTAAAGTGGGCAACTTCACCCCAGCCATCGCCCCTCAGAGCTCTAGCTCCACAGCTCCTGTGTAAGCAGTGTTATCTTTCTATGTAGAGATCATGTCTGTTGTGTGGGTGTTCCAGGTCCACGATTATAAGGTACTGATACAAACTGTCATCTCAAGGAATCCAAGTCTTATGTTTGAAAAAGCCACTGGAAGGGTCATCTGAATCTTTAAGCAGTTGTGATACTCTGAAATGTGATTGCTGACTGGAACTGTGAAGAACCTGATACTTGACAGAGGGGGAACCAGGCCTCAGAGAAGTGAAGGGGCCACCCACCCTCAACATGGCGGGATAAGCCACACCCAGCTCTCCATACCAACCATGCCAAACTTCCTTTCCTTCCTTTTTCCCCTTCAGGTGCCCGGGCCAGTGTTCTTCACTCAATGGACACACAATAATTCTGGTTATTTTATCCTCTCCAGAAAAAAATAAAAATAAAAATTAGTCATAGGGCTTGACTGAACTTTCTAGAAACTTCCAGAACCAATTCTTTCCCATGTAAGCACTTGCTACGCATAGGCAAAATGAATTGAAGCTTCTCAGAGAACTCCAGGATAAGTTGGTCTCATATTCACAAGCCTTATGCACAAGCCTTATAAGTGAGTTTGTAAAATCATCTTCCACCCTATCAAAAATTTTACCAGCCTGTAAAATGCTCCCAGATCTCTGCCTCTGGTGATATGAGCTGTATGCCACCTAAACTAGGACAGAGATATGTTTTCAATTTTTCATAAAATATTTACTTTCCTAGAATCCAATTTCTTTTTAGGCCTGACCTTTATCTTTCCGGTGCCAGACCTAATTTGCAAAACTACTCCTTCATCTCCCTCACCTGGCTGACTGCCCTTTGTTCAAAAGCCGAATTTGAGATTTACAGTAGGAAAACTCCAGAGACCCAGAGAGCTCTGAGGAGACAGGCAACTCCTCTTCCTACCGGGACTGGGAGGGCCATCGGCCCAGGTGCTCGTACACCTGCTGCTCTCTAGCGGTTGCAACCTGGGAGTGCAGGAGTGCTTCCGCTTGGCCAAAGAAAAATATCCTCTTGTTTTCAGGTTAACTGGTTGACTAAGAGTGCTCAGAAAACTTCATCTTCTTCTCTCAAAGACTCCTGTAGTTGTAGAGTTGAGCTGAAAGAGACCGTAATCCAACCAGGAGTGGTGGTGCACGTCTGTAATCCTGGCATTCTGGGAGGCTGACGCAGGAGGATCGAAAGTTTGAGTCCAGCCAGCAAGACCCTGTTTCAAAATAAAAAATAAAGAGGGGTTGAGGGTAGTAGCTCAGTGCCAAGGGAAAAAAGAAAGAGAAGCCTCAATCCAACCTCTACCTTGTTTGTGTTTTTTTTTTTAAAGAAACAGCCCGAGGATCAGAGCATAGGTCTTTTACCTGAACATACACCAAAATTAGGGAAATTAGGAATGAAGCCCTCCTCTCACTAGAAGCCAGGGCAGGGAGAGGCGGTGTCCGCTTCAACTGTAGGAAGATGCAGTGACGCTTGGGAGTTGTGGGCCTGGGAGAGCCAAGGAAGCAACAAGCCTAGTTCTGTTTTTTTAATTGGATGTTTTCTAAGATTTCTTTTTGCAGTGCTAGTATATGGTTGTCTGCTTGTCTCTTGGCATGCAAATACCTGGTGGTGCTACTAGACTGCTTGCAACTTGAGGGCAGAGTCTCTTTTTCCTCTTTTGGTCCTCAAAACCTGTACCTTTGACATAGTGAATGCTCAATAGCATTTATTCACAACAATGAACATATTTGCTGGGCATGGTGGTTCACATGTGTAATCCCAGCACTCAGCGGGGCTGAGGCAGGACGATTGCTGGGAGTTCGAGGCCAGCCTGAACTGCAGAGTGAGACCCTGTCACAAAGCCCAGTAATTAACAAGCTACATATGATCCTTGTCTGTGGCTTTGAGTGGACCACAGCTGTAACTATGAGCCAACCTTACACATGGGATCCAGGACCTGACTGCCTGCGACCTGTAACTGGGTCTCACTTCCCACCTGTGTGGCTTCAGACAAGGGGCTGGCCCTGTGTCTCAACATCCTCATCTGTAAAATGGCATTAAATGGCAATGCCTGGCACACTGTTTGAGCTCAGTAAGTATTCTAAGTAGACATTATTATCTTTGTTTTACAAATGGATAAATTAAAACTTAAAGTGTTTGCATAGCTTTTCCAAACCAACATGGCCAGTAAGCAATTATAAGCCATATCCAAAGCCCATGCTAACTCTTTAAACTCTGTGCTACATTATTGTCCTATTGTTTTTGGTTTTAGTTTTTCTTTTTTGCAGTAAATGGGATTGAATCCAAGACCTCACAAATGCCAGGCAAGTGCTCTACCATTGAGCTATGTCCCCAGCCCTTCCCTTGTTGTCAGAGGATCAAGAGCAGGAACAAGTGAGTGAATGTGAGAGATTCCTTATTGTATGGCAGTGCTAATAAATAGTTGTCATTTGATTTCCATGAAGAAAATATTGATACTCAGGATCTGCCTCTTCCTCATTCCCTGGACCAACTAAGACAGAAGATGGAAACAATTTTTGAAAAGAAACAGAGGTGCTGCATTCACCCGGAGAATACAGGTTTCTTCTAAACGAATATGCACTGCTTGTGTGGTATCTATTTTGTGCAGATTAGAGAGATACTTATCTTTACAAATTTGCAGTCTAGTGAGGGGAAACATACAAAGTCTGGTTATAATGCAAGCTAATATACCATTGCCTCCTACAACGGGGTAGTACTGATTATTTGTGCTGAGTTCCAAGAGGGAGCACAGCACAGGTTTGAGAACTCTGGGGAAGCTTCAAGGAAGAGAACTCAGGCTATCTTGAAAAATGAGTGACTTTCTTTTTTTCTGGTACCAGGGATTGAACTCAGGTCTTTGCGCTTGCCAGGCAGGCGTGGTGCCACTGAGCACTGTTCCTGGTGCATCTTCATAGCAGCCATTTGTAGTGAACACCCAACGCCCCAGAGTGGCTGCCTCCTCACCCAGGACCTGGCCTTGCTCCTCTACCGCGGGACATGCATTGCTTGGAATTTCATGTGGTCATCTCAAGAACCACAGAGAACTTGTTGGTCAGCGAGAAGTGAAAAGAAACTGGGTCTTGGGTGAGACCCCTGTGGCTGCCTGATGAAGCCTCAGCTAATAATCACTATGTACTACAAACAGGTACTAGTAAAAATGTTTAGGGCCGGGGATCTAGCTCAGTGGCACCACTCCTGCCTCGCAAGCACAAGGTCCTGGGTTCGATCCCTGGTACCAAAAAAAAAAAATTTTTTTTAAAAAGATAACATATGACTTATCAAATAGAAGTTGTCATTGTTGAACAATATAATACAGAATGATTCTCTAGTGAATAAATCATCCCTGTCATGTGATGGTGAACATGTGCTCTCCAGTGATCAGCCTCTCTGTTCTCATGAGTGCAACTCCAGGGCATCTAGGCTTTGCCTTTCTTGGTCAGAAGGAAGTACACTACAAACCGAGTCTTCAGTTAGCCTCGGCTACAATATTCATTGCTTCTTCTTGCCTGTTGGGCTGACCTATGGTCAAATAAATCAAGAAGAAAAAAGTTTAAGGGTTAAAAAGAAGAAAACTTTTTTTTTTTCTTGGTACCGGGGATCAAACTCTGGTCCTTGGGTAGCAGGCGGCGAAATCACTGAGCTAAATCTGCGGCCCCAAGAAAACATTTTTTTAAACAAATGAATGCCATTATGATCTACTCAGCAATGGCTAACAGAATCAAATAAAAACAATGAGCCTTAAAAAAATCTAAATGTGTCTTTTCTGATTTAATATTCAATTGTATTTTCCTCTAGTTTTTCTACAGTTGTAATATTTAATTAATTTACCTAGAATTTATTTAGGCACCTTGTTTAAGGTTAGAGTTCTTTTTGCAATTTTTCTTTTTTTTCTTTTTTTGTTTTGTCTTTTGGTACCGGGGATCAAACTCGGGACCTTGAGGTTGCTAGGCAGGCAGCGGAACCACTGAGCTAAATCCCCAGCCTAAGTTTTTTTTTTTTTGGTACTGGGGATCGAACTCCGGTCCTTGCGCTTGTGAGGCAGGTGCTGGAACCACTGAGCTAAATCCCCAGCCTAAGTTTTTTTTTTTTTGGTACTGGGGATCGAACTCCGGTCCTTGCGCTTGTGAGGCAGGTGCTGGAACCACTGAGCTAAATCCCTGGCCCGATATTTCAATACATATATGATATAGTATATGATAAAATCAAGATAATTAGCAGAATTTTCACCAAAAATTTAACCAACTGTTCAAATACATTTCCCCCCACTGAGTTGTAATGTTCTTTTATTCTTTTTAAATGCTTGTATAAAATTTGGTCTATTTCTGTCTAACTAGTCTGTTAAATTGATATATAAACTACATAATGTTTTACTGTTTGCCAAGAGTAATACTCTTCCCAATTAAGCTCTGCCTTTCAATTTTTCCTTTGCCTTTTTCTGTTTATTCCTCCAGATGAATTTTAAAATAATTACATCCAATTCTAAACAGATTCTATTGAATTACAGTGCAGTTTACTGTAATGATGCAAAAGCTCAGAATGACATCTTCACAATTTTAAGTTTCTAATCCAGAGAAATTTTTCTTCAAATTTTCCCATGTTTTTCAAGAAAATTTGGTCAATTTTTTCAGAGATCATCAACATCTTAAATAAAGGTTTATCTCAAAGTAAAGGTTATTCCTAGGTGTTTTCTCTTTGTCCTATCTTACACTGTCTTCTACGGGGTATGGCCGTATGGCCATACGTAGAGAAACTTGCTACTTGAAGAGACAGTGCACTCTAATGGTCCACTCTGTCCTCTGTCTCTTAGCTGGCTCCCTGCACTGAGCCCAGGAGCAAAACTGCTCTCCTCCTAAAAGACAGCCTTCCATCTCTCTGGAGACCAGAAGGTTTTGAGTCAGCCCTCTTTTGTCCTGGCCAAATAGCCTCAACTGATAGGGTGAAAACAGTATTTGAAGAAGATTCAAATACCTGTGATAAGGGTGGATTTGAGGCAGGTAAGAGATAAGCAAGGCCTGACTTCAGTGGTAATCCTGGCTTTAAGAGATGGGCTAAGGCGAGACTGAATATGGAAAAGGGTACATCTGAAAGACATTCCAAAAGAGGAACAGGGCACATTGACAAACAATATAATTGGAAAAAGGCATGGAAAGAGGAGTCAAAAATGGCTTGAAAATATCAAGTCTGAATCACAGAAGGGCAATGATTCTGCCAAGAGGAAGTAGGAGAGATTGAAAAGGAGAGGGAGACAGCCCGGAAGGAAGTCAGTTTGGACTTTCTGACCCTGAGATTAGAAGATAGTCAAGGGCCGGGGCTTTAGCTCAGTGGTGCAGTCGCCTGCCTTGAAAGCATAAGGTCCTAAGTTCGATTCCTGGTACCAAAAAAAAAAAGAAGAAGAAGATAGCCAAAGGAAAGAGGTCTGTTGTATAGACCAGTGTTCTTCAAAATATTCCCCGGAATGGGGCCAGGGATTTAGCTCAGTGGTTCCACCACCTGCCTTGCAAGTGCAAGGTCCCGAGTTTGATCCCCGGTACCAAAAAAAAAAAAAAAAAATTCCCCCAACTGAGAAATATATTTTGCACATCAGGTCAGTGAAAACACAGATACAAACTAAAAGACACAAAAGAGATGTAAGGGCCACAAATTCCTGCGGACATAGGCAAGTGTGGGCTTGGAGCCCTTGTGGGAGGGAGGAAGGGCTGGGTGTGTAAGCAGCACCAGACTGATAGATTCAGTCATGAGGACTAACCAGTCCCTTTCCCTCAGCTGTCAGAGGTTCTGTGGTCTAAGACTTGGCAGCCAACTCCTTCCGGAAGTTAATTATCCTGCCACCATCTACCTTCAGTTTCAAATCCCAGAGGACTCCAGGGAAGAGAGATGGCAGCAGAAAAGCTGCACACACTTCAGCAAAGTAAGTCCCAGTCTAAAACAGAGCACCTGAGCTAGAAACTGTTCACCTTAAAGAAACATCTCTTTCATCCTCTGGCAGGCTGAGAATTTTCCTCAGAAACAAGGGATGAGAGAATATTTAGGTCTCCAGCTTGGAAGTTTCAAGGCCACGGTGCTTAGAACTGGGGCAGGACAGATAGGAAACAATTACTCCTTGCAAAGCTGGAGTTCTAAATTGAAGCGTGGAAAAGAGGCCAAGGGCCCCAGGCAAACATCTGCTGTTGGGTCAGAGCCCACACAAGCTCAGGCCCCAGCTCAGCAGCCCAGCATGGAAGAATGAGGGAGCTCAGGAGATTATTAGGGGCCCCCCAGAAACAGCCACACACAGTGGTGCCTGGCTGGTTAGGAAGGGGAGCCACTTTTCCAACCCAAAGGATATTCTTCTCAGTCAAATTAAGTTGTTTTAATCTGAGTCATGTTGAGCCATCTTTCCAAAGTGGGAATATTTCACACTGGGACATTCTGTAGCGAGAAGTACTTTTCACAGAGATTAAAGAAAAGCCAGTCAATTTTTGGACTTAGAAATTTAGCTTCAAAAAGTTCCAATGCAACCCAGTATAATGGTACAGACCTGTAATCCCAGCACCCTGGGAAGGCTTAGGCAGGAGGAGTCCAAGTTCCAGCTCAGGCTGGGCAACTTAGTGACTTAGCAAGACCTTGTCTCAAAATTTAAAAAAAGAAAAAGAGGAAAATGGGGGGGTGGGGTGTTGGGGGATGTAGCTCAGTGTAAAACCCCTGGCTTTGATCCCCAGTACTGAAAAAACCCCACAGAACTTCCCGAGCTGGATGTGATGGCACACACCTGTGATCCCAGCATTTGGGAGGCTGAGGCAGGAAGATTGTCATGAGTTTGAGGCCAGCCTAGATTACATAGTGAATTCAAGGACAGCCTGAACTCCATGGCAAGATCCAGTGTCAAAAAAAAAAAAAAAAAGTTCCAATGCACCATTTGGTTGAAATACAATGTCATAGTCAGGCTTTTTTTCTGTTCAGGTGAAGGAAAAATGAAGAGGTTGAAGACGGGGCCGCCATTGGGGCAGCAGGGACACTCACACTCATTTTCCCACGCTGGGGCTGATGCTCCGGGTTTATAGGAGGCTGACGATGCCGGCTGCAAGTCTGGGCAGCTCTTAAGAGAAACAGGCCCTCGTGGCAAAGGCCAGACAGGCAGACTCAATCCTAGCACTCAGTGGGCAGCACGGAGGAGTTGGTTTTTAAAAAATCACAAAACACAGGCCACAGAAGCCGGGGCAGCTCTCTCAGGCCCTGAGCACTCGCTCTGTAGTTCTCCCCCGTCTCTAATGGAGAAGACCGCAAGGTAACTCGACTTTCTCCCCATGAGTCCTCCTGATCCCCCGTGGCAAGGCCCTGCTCCTTCTGGCAGCAGCGTAACTAAACGGAAGTAGACACCAGGGGCACTTTCTGTCCCTGGAATATCTTAGAGCCCTGCTTCCGGTCTCCTGGGTGTCTCCAGACTCCATTATCTCCAGTCCAGATCTCTGTCCCTCCCATGGAGCCCAGGAGGCCAGGGTGAGCCTCCCTTTCCTGCAGGGTGGCACACTCCCTGTGAGCTCCTCCAGGCAGGCTGGTCTTCCTGGCACCTCAGCCAACCCTGCCCTGCTGCCACACTGTTAATATTCTAAAACAAGCACAGTCTAGATCTACCCAGGCCACAAGACTGCCAGGGAAGGAAGAGAAGCACAGCTGCTAGAAGACAAGTCCAGGTCCATACAAGATTTCCGATGCACTGGAGGGGAGGTGTCTATGTAGTTCAAACTGGCCCTGAACTCACTATGTAGCCCAGGCTGGCTGATCCCCCTGCCTCAGCCTCCCAAATGCTGGGACCACAGGCGTGTGTTGCCATGCCCAGCTCTGATACATTTTGTAGCCTATAGTGTGAATTAGCTGGGAGGCAGAAAGGGAAGAAAAGTAGAGGAAAAGTTCCACTGTCCATTGTGGGAGAAACAGGAACCAGAAAGGCAACAGGGCCCGGGGATGGGGGGTTGTGTTTCTGGCCTCTTCAGCCCAGAGAAGACTTGTGTCAATTCAGCTCTGTTCTGTTTGGCCCTGCAGTCAACTGTGAAAGAAAGGAAAAGAATCCCTGGACTAATTGTGCAAAGGCCAGAGATAGGCAGAAATGAAACCCTTGAAGAGCTGCAGTCGGCATTTCCAGACCACCTTTCCTTTCTGCAGAGCATGAGAAGCTGCTCCTCTTCCTCCCTGCGGAGCGGCATGGCACTATCACGTCATCCATGGACCTCCGCCTTTGACCCGCTCTTTGCCAAACGAGGAGGACAGTGACCAAGCCGAGGGACCCACCAGATCACTGCCTCAGACAGGGTCAAAGCCAGCCAGGGGCTGCCTCCTACGAGGACGGCTTCTAACAGCACCGTCCTATTGTAGTGTTTGGGGTGTCTGGACATGAGGACACCCATTTTCAAGAGGGACTGAAGTTATGTTCCTTCTCCCTCCCCAAAAAGTGAAAGAAAACCAGACCAGGAGGTCAGAGACATATTAGCATAATTTAATGTATTAAATTCACCATACAAAGAAGATGCCACAGAAACAAAATACAAGAACTTGAAGGGACACGGAGATGATCTAGCCAACACTTTCATTTCACAAACGAGAGGACTGCCTGAAGTCCCAGGACTCTTATGCACAAAGCCAGAAGGGGAGCTCTGTCCTGACTCATGGAAACAGACTGACGGCTTCCAGTTGTCGCCCAAGTGGAGCCCAAGACTTAACCCACATTCACCTCTGCTTCTTACAGCACCACACTCGGACGTTTGTGTACTTCTTAAGGCTGTAGGAAAGTCCTAAAGAAACACGAGGAGCTGAAGGCTACTCAAAGCCACAATAAAGACCAATCACGGATCCAAGTACAGTGGCACACACCTGTAATCCTAGCTCCCAGAGAGGCTGAGGAAGGAGAGTCAAGAGTTCAAGGCCAGCCTGGACAATATAGCAGGATGCTATTTCAAAAAAATAAAAATAAAATAAAATAAAGAGACCAACTATGGAGCAGAGGGATTCAAGGGTTTAGGAGAACACACCCTCTCCCTATAAAGGGTCCTGATCACTGTGTTCCCCAAACAACACACACCCAGAACCCAACACCTCAAGGAAAGTGCCCTTGCCTTCCTGGGGTGCAGGGTCTGGCGGAAGAAGGGAAGCGAAGCGGTTGGGAGAGAGCAGATCTATCACTATGTCATCTAATAGAAAAGGGGATGTTTTTCCCCAGTTTCAAGCAAATCCATCTACCACAAGAAAAGACTATAGAGCTCTGGTATGAAATCGATTATGAGATGTAAGCAAAAACACCAATAACTTAGCAAAATAAATACAACGAAAGTTTTGCTGGGAATGATATACTCACTAAAAACACAGTTCTTACACTCTGGGTCGGGGAGACTAAGGTGCGCCTTGCGGGACACATTAGGGGAACCCCTAGGAGACTGTGGGAATTTTCACAGCAGAGAGAAGTCACACGTAACTGTCCACAGCCCCAGAGAATCGGTCTGGTAAAAGCTACACCAGGCACACACTCCCCTGTCCTGGAAGGACAAGGCTCTGAGTCGGCTTGGTGTCCTGGCTCTGGCCAGGCCTGGCCAGGTCGCCCCACTGTCTGTCAGCACGGCCGAGGGGAGGGGGCTGCTGAGAGCCGAGCTATGTTTGCAGAAGGAACTCCACACCCAGGACACACTCCAACCACTTTGGACATCCGCTACCTCTCGGGCTGAGACAAATCTTGACACTTCTCCCGACCAGATGGGGACCTGGCTTCTGGGACAGCTGGATTCCAGTAGACAATAGAAGGAAGGCTCTGCTACAGAGAAAATATAACTATGGGAAGAAGACATTGCCCCATCCTGCTGGCAGGATACCCTCTCCCGAAGGGCTGCAGTGTCCAGAGGAGGTGCTCATGCTGCATCTGCCCAGGAAACAGAGGACAGGAGCGAGGGGCCTGGAGGACACAGGTGCCCCAGCCCCAGGTGCAGTCAGGGAACAATCCAGAAGTCAGTCAGTTAACATCCTGCAGTGATGGGCTTTTCACAGGCGGGAGGTGGCAGCACCAGCAGCGTCTATGTCCTTGTCCATCTCCTCACACTCAGGTCTCCACCACTCGGATGAGAGGCATGGGCCTGGGGCTGGGGGGCTTGGATATCCTGACGCTGAAAGCAAAATAGAAACACTGAGGCTTGTTGGCGCCCACACTTCAGGAAGCCTCCCGCTCGCTCCCTTTGCCTCCCTAACCCCACAGTTCAGGGCAGGCTGATCTCTAGAGTTCCAAGGCTTTGAAACAGGAACATTGTGTAACATCTAAGAGAAGATCTGGGGGTGACCCAGTTGTCTAGTGGCGGGGGAGGGGAAAAGGGGGACAGCTGAACATCCGAGAAGCAGGAGTAGCTGTGAGTCTAGAGTTTTTTGAGTTTGGGCCCTTTTGGGAATCTACTGGGGGGAAAAAAAGACCTTTTCTAGAAATATTGATATTGCACATATCTATTTATAGCATGAAAATATTACAAATAAATTCTGCATGCAATTGCAGAGGGCTCATATACTACATGGTCCAGGTCCGTTCCTGGCTTTAAATAGGCTAGAAAATGGTTCCAGTGGGAAAGGGGTCAGATCAGAGACTCACGGAGGAAAGCTGGATCTCAAAGAGCCTTGTCCTTGCCGTCCCACTAAAGGTTCTGCTCAGCTCTGGCCCTCCTTTCCTCCTTCCTGCTGGACCCTCTCTATACATGAGTGCTCACCTGCCCAGGTTCTCTGTCTTGGCCTGCGTCTGAGTGCTGAAGTTGCCATGACGGATCTGTTTCTCTATCAGGTGTTCCATCCGGTCGTGCATCTCCAAATTCTGTCACAGACCATGGGGTCACATTTATTTAGCTCATCTGGCCTCTCCGCCTCTATGTTTATGCCACATACCACTCCCTAGGTGCTTTCTAGCCTCATCCTCATCACTACAGACTGCTCTCTTCTAACTCTATGCAACATGATCATTTCCCGTATCGCTTCTATATGGATTTTTGTACACAGTTTCTTATTGGCATTGAGATATCCATTTGCCTTCATTGCTATGTTACCCATTAAATACCGCCCTTTGTTTTTTTGGAGTATCTGGACTAAACCCAGGGCTACCTCCCCAGCCCTTGCTTTATATTTTTAGTTTGAGACAGGGTCTTGCTAAATTGCTAAAATGCTAAGTCTGTGATCCTCCTGCCTCAGCGTACTGGAGTGCTGAGATTACAGGCATGCACCACCAAGCCCAGCTTGTGTTGTGTTTTTTTCTTAGTGTATTTTATATCTAGCTCTAGACTACATACTCTCTAAAGACAAACAACCCTGTCTGCCCCACTACAGGGATCATCGCACAGGGGCTGCAAAGTGATCTTCAGGCAGACAAGGGACAGGAAGGGCTCTGTGGCAAAGAGGAACCCTCGCCATGGGAAGGACTCCAAGTACAAAAAGCCTCTTCCTTCCAAACCTGGCTCCATTGTCAGCTCCCCTGCAAAGCCTGGAGGTTCTGAATGTGGCACAGCAGGTAGGCTGCACTCATGAAAATGTTTCCTAAACCCAACTATCCATTGAGCACCTGCCTAAGCAGCAGCTAGGCAGGCCCAAGGCGCCCTCCTTCACCTCCCTCCCTACATCCAGTCTTCTCCTGCAGAGCCCCGTCCCCTGCCAGGCAGCCCGGCACACACACCTCTGCCTCCAGGTAGGCGACCTTCTCCTTGAGCTCCTGGATGGTGGCGTCCTTGGTCTGGATCACAGCCTTCGAATTCTGGAGCTACAAAGACAGAGGAGACGCGGGAGCTCACTTCTCAATGCCTCACTACAGACACTCACTGAACTTAACCCTCCCACTGCAGGAGCCGGCAGGGATGGAAGGCCAGGCTCTGCATCCTTCACAGGACTCTTTTAGCCAGTCTGGGAGTTTTATCAGACAGTGTTAAACTCTCCGTGATCCCAGGGTGGGGCAGGGGAGTATGAGGAGAGCATCACTCTGGTAACCCAAAACACACAGTGGATGCTTCAAAATCCATTCCACAGGTTCTGAGAAATGGAAATTACACATTCCTTTAAGAAACATTTACTGAAGCTGGGCATGGTGGTGCACGTCTATAATCCCAGCACTCTGGGAGGCTGGGGAAAAAGAATTACAAGTTCAAACCCAGCCTGGGCAATTTAGCAACTTAGTGAGACCTAATCTCAAAATAAAACCAGTTTTAAAAGGGTCAGGGATGTAGCTCAGTGCTAAGGCCCTGGGTTCAATCCCTAGTACTCAAAAAAAAAAAAAGTATTTACTTATTTAATGCTTACGATATGGAAGGTTTATTCAAAATATGTACTGGCAAAACTGACACAAATGGAGCTAATATTAAGGATTAGGGGGGCCGGGGATTTAGCTCAGTGGTTCCGCTGCCTGCCTCCCAAGCTCAAGGGGTACCAAAAAAAAAAAGAATTGAGGGGGGGCGGTTCCTCAGTTCTGCAAATTGATGCATCCTAAATGTGTGACCCTGAAGTTTAGGTAGCGCAGGCCGGAAAATTTGCTACGAGGCAAAAAGACTGAAATCTACACACAGATAATTGAGTCTATTATGATTCAGTTATTCATTTACCAGCACTCTTCAGGGTGTGTGGGAAATAAACCTTTTTCTTCTGTTCTTATTAGAAAGCAGAAGCCTAAGCTGGATGTGGTGGCGCACACCCATGATCCCAGCACTTGGGAGGCTGAGGCAGGAGGATTGCAGTGAGTTTGAGGCCAGCCTCGGTTACTTAGCAGGAGAGTTCAAGGTCAGCCTGAACTGAATAGCAAGACCCTGTCTCAAAAGAAAGAAAGAAAGAAAAAAAAAAAAAACAGAAGCCAAATAGTCAAAAAGTAGAGGAAAGACAGATGAAAAACAAATCCCCACAACCCCAACCCTAGTAATCGGAAGCGATACATGTTTTATGGGAAACATGACTGGAAGCTACGCTGCCTAGGAGAACAAATAAGTAAGTGCGCAGACTTTGGGTCACCGCCTGGGGCAGGCACACAGCTGGCGCTCACCTGCTCTATCATCTGCCGGACTTTCCGCTGCTGGCTCTTGAGCATGTCGTCCAGGTGATGGATCTTCTCACGAAGCCCCGCCACCTCCTTCTCCAGGGCAGCAGCCCTGGGGGTAAAGACCAGAAGGCTGGAGCAAAGGCAGAAGACCCCTTCTCCACCTAGTCCCAGGAGAGCCTTGACTCAGGAGGGTCCCCCAAGTGTGACGGCCTCCACCTGAGCCCCAGCAGTGTGCCCTAGGGAGGAGGTGGGGGACCCTGAGAGCGACACACTGGAGCACCAGCAGTTATCCCCCCATCCAGACGAGATCAGCACAGCATGAGGGATAAGCCCCTTCCGAAAGGCTGCAAGTGGAAGTCACTCTGGTAAATCTAAGGGTAAAGCTGGAAAAATTGGTAGGCGTCGAGGCAGTTTTTGCATCAGGCCAGGAAAACTCAGTATCACTGCTGTCAGAAAGTCAGCTGCTTCACATGTAATGAGCTTCTGTTACTGGGAAGATGCAAGTAGGAACTGGGATTGTTATATCCCAAATCATCAAGCTGTTGGCAGGGATTTTATAATATGAGGGGAATAAGATCCTTAAAGCCTCTTCACACAATTCTGTTTCTAAGATTCCTGGTCCCTAAATCACTGTTGCTTCCTTTGCATTCTAAGCAAACTGAGCCAAGATCGCCAATAGAAAATATGTATTTTCTGACATAGGTCCTGGCATAGAGTTCCTAAAACTCTTGTAAATTCCTAAGCATAGGAGTGATAGAGGCATGTTTTGCTGTAATGTTTCATCTTGGAGTACAATTTCTGGCAAGCACTTCCATTACAACAAGTTCCTAAAGCTGAGAAGGTGGTGGTGGGAACTCCCACATTTGTAGCCAACTGAGAGAAAAGTGTGGGCACCCTGGGAACCACCAACTGCAGCTGGCATCTAGAGGGGGGCAAGGATCTCTAGGCGTGATGATGGGTTGTCTGAATGCTGAGGAGGTGGACAGGGTCCATAGCTGGCCCCAGGATGGGATAACAGCCGGAAAGCACAAGGTATGATGAGAGGATTGGCAATTTCAGCCCCATCCTGACTCTGGGAGGGAGATGGAGCTGGGGGTCGGCAACTGGGTCAATCACCAATGGCCAATGATTTAATTCAATCATGGCTACATAATGAAACGGCCACTAAAAATCCTAAACACAGCAAACCCTTGACTTACGAACTCAATTCGTTGTAACTCAAGCTGGTCAGGCTCCTGTACACAGCCTTCAAAGTCTCTCTCCTGTGTAATTTTAGGCCACACTTTCTTCCAGGCAGATCTCAGGGTCCTTAGAGAGACACTGGCCCAGGATTTCTCAGTTAACCCCACACAGGAGAGGATGCTGTAATGTTCCTTCCAGAACTCTTTAAGGGTTAAATCTGTACCTGAGACCATCTGGAAGCACAAGCGGCTGGCATTTGGGTCGTAACTCAAGACTGCTCATAAGTTAAAAACTAAAATTCCAGTCATAACCCCAGTTGTTCCTATGTCAGGCTGGTCATAACTTGAGGGTCCACTCTAAGGGGTTCAGACAGCTCCTCAGTTGGTGGACACAGCCATGAGCTACGAGGAAGGCACAGCCCAACTTCCCGGAGACAGCAGCTCCTGCACCCTTCTGGGCCTTGTCCTATACCCCTCTTCATCTGCCTGTCCATTTGTATCCCCTACAATAAAGGAGAAGCCGTAAAGTGTTTCCTGAGCTCTGTGAGCCATTACAGCAATTTATCAAACCTGAGGAAGCAATCATGGGATCCCCAATTTGTAGCCATGCAGGAGAAAAGTGTGGGTACCCTTGGGTCCACTAATTGACTCTGGCATCTAAACTGGGGGCGCTCTTATGGGACTTAACCTTCAATTTCTGGAGACTGCACCCACTCTAGGCAGTTAGTCTCGGAACTGAAGGAAATAGTGGGACACCTAGCGCGAGTCAGGGAACCGGAGAATTGCTTGGTGTGAAACCTACATGCCTGGTGTCACAAGTGCTGCGAGGAAAGGGACAGTCTTCCTTCAGGCAGGGCACTTAGGGAGCGTCCAGGGGTCAGACCCAAGAGCTGGTGTGCCCATCACTGCTCAGCTCTGCCTGAGGACGCCGACGAGGGCCTCCCGGAGAGGGAGGGTGGCACTTGGGGTCGGGTGAGGGTTAGGGTTAGGGTTAGGGTTAGCACATTCCGAGCCATGCCACATACGTCCTAAACTTCAAACACTCTAAATTCCCACTCTCAGCTCTCCGGTGTCCTACTTCTCAGTCTCTTTTTATTTAGGAAATCAGCCTTGAGGATGCAGAGCTATCAGCTGCCAGCCCCAGCCTCAGCTGGGATTATCTCATCCTTTCTGTTTCTCTTGTTCCTCCTCCTTCTCTCTCTCCCACGACCACCTCCAACAGAGAGAGGGAGTACTGAACACAGTCAGCCCTCAGCACCCAAGGGGAACTGGTTCCCGGCCCCCCTCCCCCACCAGGAATGCTCAAGTCCTTACAGAAATGGTGTGCTTGCATACAGCCTGTATATGTCCTCCCATATACTCTAAAACATCCCTAGATTACTTATAATACCTAAAACAATGTAAACACTGTACGATATAAACAGTTATATTGCACTGTTTAGGAAACAATGACCAAAAATAAAAATTTTGATATGTTTCAGTACAGATGCTTTTTGGGGGGTTGAGGGGTACTGGGAATTGAACCCAAAGCTTTTGCACTCAGCTGCATCCCCAGACTTTTTATTTTGAGATGAAGTATCATTAAATTAAGTTCCCTGGGCTGGGCTTGAATTTTTGATCCTCCTGCCTTAGCCTCCCAGAGTGCTGGGATTACAGGCATGCATCACCATGCCCAGACAAATGCAGTTTTTTTCTCCCCCCAGGACATTTTCAATCTCTGGTTGGTTGGATCTGCAGATGTGGAATCCACAGAGACAGAAGGCCAACTGTAACTTAAAAGTAATTCTGACACAAAGTCAAATAAGAAAGGAGGCTATAATAAAATGCCTGCATTTTCCATGACAGGAAGGCCAAATCTAGGTTGCTCTAAAGAGGAGAAAATATCCCCCAAAGCCTGTAGATTTCTGATTGCATCTGTCAATTTTAGAATTCTTTAGTCACACCTTCAGGTAAAGTTTACTGAACCAAAACAATGTCCAGCTTATAAAATGCTGACAATAGAATTAACTTACTATTTGAGATCTTGTTTTGCCAATGGCATAAAGAATTTCCACGTTCCTGAAGCCCCTCAAGGCAAAGTCTTTACTCTGTAGGTTTCACTGGTCTGGAGCCCCTGGTCCTGCTCTGCTCAGAGGGAAGTTGTAAGGTAGGAAGAGCTTGGTGACCCTCTAAATGCTACTGCAGAGAGGGGCTCGGCGTGTACCTGGGCCATAACAGGAAGTTCTCATGAAGCTGCTCACTCTCTTTCATCAGCTCAACTGGAAAGGAAGCTCCTTGCCCCTCGAGGAGCTTGCAGTGGGTTTCTGCTTTAAGGGACGGACACCATGGGGTGACACACCCTGTGGAATCAGCAGGTGCTTTACCCGATTTTCGTTGACCTGGGCTCTAAAACCATAAAACGTTTTCTGAGGGTTGTGGCCCCATGGAAAAACGAGCTCCCAGCAGGCAGAAGACAGCTTGGGTGGGGACCCACCCTAGCCAGCCTGTTGTGAGTCACGGCTGGAGATCCGACGTCAGCATCAACTTTCTCCCCAGGCCTGGCTGCCGTGGGAGCTACAGGCTGCACAGCGCACCCTGTCCTCCCTGCACCCTAACTTCAGCTTGAACAAAGGCCCTTACTTTTCTTGCTGGGCTTGGCAGTCAGCGCTCTTGCTCCGGAGTTCCTCCAGGGCCACGTCCCCCTCTCTGACTTTTGTCAGTAAGGCCTGATGCTCCTGGGGGACAGAGGACAGGACACCAAGTGTGAGCAGACAGCGAGAGCTTCTGTGTGGGGGGTGAGACGGGCACTAGGGCTGGAGCTTGGCCCCTACCAGGCCTGGGACAGCTGCCAAAGGGTGGCCAGCTGAGCTGGTTTGATGGGGCGCCCTCCCCTGTTGGGATAACCCTTCCCACCCTCAGCATACAGAAACTTCCCAGCCTCACCCAGCTGCCAGGAGCAGAGCGGAGTGAGAGCCTGGCCTGGTGTTATGCAAGCTCCCTGCCAGCTCAGCAGCCAGGCCCAGGGAAACCGGGCAGAGTAGCTTCTCCGGACAGCCTTCAGGAGCCCCAAAAGGCCTCTCTCTGTGTGAGAACTGGACTAACGAGGCATGGGTCCAGCTCTAGTCAGGGGGAAACTGAAGCTGAATAATGGGGAGAACTTCCTGCCCCTTAAAGCCCAGTGGGTGTTCAAAAGGATGTGCCGAAGCGTGAAGTGTGCTCTTGTGGGAAAGGAGAGCCCCAATATCTGCATCAGTCCTCAGCCCCTTCCAGACCCCAAGCCGCAGCACTGAAGCAGGGGGCTCCGACCTTACCGTCTCCATGCCCCGCAGGCGCCTCTGCAGCTCCCCCACTTCTGCCTGCTTCTGCTCCGCTCGGTCCTCCTCTCTCTGAAGGGCCACATTACTCTGTTCCGCCTCCCGCTGGTAGCGGCTGAGCGTGACCTGTGACACAGGATGGGCATGTTTCCAGCGGAGGGGAAGAAAGCAAGCACGGTGGCACCTGGACTCCACAGGCAGGTCTTTCAGGTGGTGGCTTCTTCAGCGCCCCTGGGAACCTTCAGGGTCACCCAAACCTCACCTGGCCAGCACTGTGGCTTTCCTATGAACCCAAAAGCAAATAACCACGGGGAGGGTGGCGCCATGTGCTCCGCTTCCCGACTCTTCTTCACCTTCCCATCGGGCACCATTTCAGAGCCTCCATACAGAGGAGACCACAGCATCCAGGCAGAAACTGCCTGTTATCACACAGGAGACACCAATTTGGAAAGACAGAAGCAGAGCTTTATCTTTTTTGTGTGGTATTGGGAATTGAACCCGGGGCCTTGTGCAAGCTGGGCAAGCACACTACCACTGAGCTACACCCCCAGCCCAGAGGCAGAATGGCAGGATGTTGGCAGAGACAGTAAAGTTTCCTCCCTCCTGAGCCTCTCAAGTCCTGCTTAGCCTCCAATTGCTCTTAGACACCCCTTCCTCCAGGGAGCCTTTAGGGAATGGGAAGGGGTCCCCGGAGGACACAGCCCTTCCCTCTGAGGCCCTCGGCTGGGCCACCCAGGCTCCTGTGTGCACACCTGAGATGAAGCCCCATGACGGCACAGACTCAAGCACGGGACATCTCCAGAGTTCCCAGGGGCCCTCTCGCTCAGCGACTGTCCAGTAGGTCGGGAATGAAACTGACACTCATTCAGGCCAATCCTCTCCTTTCCGCAAAGAGAGTTCACCTGAGCTCTTTGTGACAGGGAATGGTGCTGCCAACGCGACGCTTCCCCAGAACCCACGCGCTCGGCCTCCACATTATCTGGTAAAGGAGTCCAGGCAACCTCTGGAAGCCTGTGCACCCCGGGGAGCAGATGCCCACGTCCAGCTCCTCCTGGCATCAGGATGAGAGAGGGGAGAACAGAGCACAGCATGGCACAGCATGGGAAAGGACTCGTCCTCGCTCCTCGAAGCAGCCCGGTCCAGAGTAAATCCACCGCAAATCCCTCCTGACAGCAAAGCAGCCGGCAGAGTAAGAAACCCAAGCTCAGAGCCGGGAATTTAGCTCAGAGGTTTTGCCACTTGCTGCACAAGCACAAGGACCCGAGTTTGATCCCCAGTACCAAAAAAAAGAAACCCAAGCTCAACACAGGTTATCTTCACAGTAACTGAGGATCTTGCTTCTCCTACTCCCAGGTTCAGAAAAGTGGACCAGAAAGCCCAACTCACTAGGAGAGCTTGAGAAACACCCTTGAATAACCCATATTAGCTGGGCATGGTGGCACATGCCTGTAATCCCAGCACTCTAGGAGGCTGAGACAGGAAGACCCCTGGAGTTTGAGGCTACCACAGGCTAGACAATGAGTTTAAGGGCAGTCTGGAATATCTAGTGAGACTCTGTCTTTAAAAAAAAAAAAAAAGGAAAATAATAACCTATATTAGCCCCAAAATAGGCCAACTCCATGGGGCGGAAACTTAAAAGCAAAGGTCTCTCATCTCAGTACAGAAAAACCACATCCAGGCTGACAGCGGCCAGTGCACACTGCTGTCTGGGCCACGGCTCAAACTTGAACCCCCATAGAGAATCACAAAGGTACAAGACAGGAAAGAAAAAGCACAGATTCCCCTTCCAGATCTGTAGCTTCAGCCAACCCTGCCCACAAATCAACCTCTTACTTCTCAGAGGGTGAGCCAATCGGCCCCAACAGTGCCACCACGGGGTTAAAGGTGCACACCTGTAATCCCAGCTACTTGGACTGCTGAGGCAGGAGGACTGAAAGTTCAAGGACAGCCTGGGGAACTTAGTGAGGCCTGTCTCAAAATAAGAATAAAAAAGGCTGGGGATGTAGCTCAGCGACAAAGCAAGTGCAAGGCCCTGGGTTCAAGTCCAGTTCTGGGCGAAAGAGAGAGACAGAGTGTTTCTAAACTGTGGCTGGCTGGCTGCAGCTATCAGGACACTTCAGCTCCGGAGGAGCGGGCTCCTTCCTTGTTCCCTAGTTCCCAGCACAGGTAGGCAGGGTACAATGCTGTCATAACATATTTATGACATGAAAATGCTTTATTTGTAGATGAACCATAGCAGAGTAATAAGATAACTACCCAGTGTATCTTGTTTTATATTCAAAGAATTTTGTAGGAAGTATGGAAGACCTCATGTGCTCTTGATAGAAGAGGGCTTTCACTATCTGTAGACTTCTGTATTTTTTTTAATCTTCCTAATAATCTACTTTAATTACTTAAAAAAAAAAAAAAGAACTATAAGCCAGGGGCAATCACCTCCTCTGCACTTCAGAGGCTGAGGCAGGAGGATCGTGAAATAAAGACCTGCCTGGGCTACACAGTGAGTTCAAGGCTGACCTAGAATACACAGAAAGACCCTGAGGCAGGAGGATCATAAATTCGGGCAACTTAGCAAGACCCTATCTCAAATAAAGGAGGAAGGGGCCGGGGATTTAGCTCAGTGGTTTCGCTGCCTGCTGCGTAAGCACAAGGACCCGAGTTTGATCCCCGGTACCAAAAAATAAATAAAAAATAAAAAATAAAGGAGGAAGAAAAGAAGGAAGGAAGGAAGGAAGGGAGGGAGGGAGGGAGGGGCTTAGAGATACAGCTTAGTGCAAAGGCCCTGGGTTCAATCCCTAGTACCAGAAAAACAAAACAAAAACTGCAAGAAAAATTAAGATACTTGCTCAAGATCACACTGCTGCACAAGCGCAAGGACTCAAGTTCAATCCCCGGTACATAAATAAATAAATAAATAAATAAATAAATAAGATAAAAAATAAATAAATAAGATCATAAAGCCCTCTGATTCCACAGACACCGTTCTATGCCCTCGCAGATCTATTCACTCCCTCAGTTCACATTTAGGAAACACGCACCTGATGCCAGGAGACCTGCCAGATACCTGAGGCTCAGTGGCACCACAAGGGCAACAGTCCTGGCCTCAAAGAGCCTTGGAGCTCAGTGGTTCACACTGCAGAGCACACAGAAAGGACTTCCTGTGTGTGTGTGCACGTGTCGGGGAGCATGCTGGGCAAGTCCTCTACACTTGAGCTACACCTTGAGCCCCAAAATGACTTCTGGATTACCTGCTGTCCCAAACCAGTATGACTGCCCTACTTCAGCAGAGTCGAGAGGCAAGATTTCACCTCTGAACCATGATGAGCCAGACTTGGAAGGCCAACACTTGAAGTGCCCAGAAGGAAAAGCAGACTGGAAGTGCCTCGGCCTTAAAGTGTTGCCTTTCCAGTTGGTGGGACTCAGCCAGAAGAGCATGAAGTCCACGCTGAGAGAGTCGCTGGCACCTGTATCAGTAGCCCATCCCTTAGGGCATCTTTTCCCCAAATCCCAAATCTCACCTCAAAAGCTGCGTGGTCTGACTGGTGCTGCCGCTCTGCCTCCTGAAGCTTGGCAAGCAGGTCCCACACAGTTTTTCTTAAGCTCTCCACATCGTCATGGATAAAGGTCTCTACCTACAACCAGGGTGAGAGAAGGAGGTGAAGCTACCTCGTTTCTGACTTAGTAAGAGAAAGTCCCCTCCCTGCCACATGCTGGTCTGGATCATCCCTGGGATAGCCTCACCGGAGGATTAACACCACACAGGAGTTGGTCTTAAGCAGTTATTCTCATGAAAATATTCTTCCTTCATACCCTAAAGAGCTCAGCAAGCCTTAAATCATCCAGTTTGTTTTAGACACATCCAGTCATTTTGGACACATTTATCAATGGGCTGATTTCTCAGCAGGGATTCACATGAGTCTATGTGCATGTTCTGCTCCCCGTCCTCAGACTAGAGCAGTCTCGGGGCAGGAGCCGTGTTTCTCACATCACGGCAAGTGGCCCAAAGGCCCATCTTTTACCGTCCTGGTACAGAGGTCAGTGTCTACAGGGTTACTTAGAGATGGGCGGGTTGGGGACAGAAGCAGTAAGGAGAGGTGTGTGTAGGGTCTCACCCCCACCTCTGCCGGAAGACGCTCCAGTTCCCAGCTTCCTGACAGCCTGACAGAAAATCGCTCCCTGTCTCACACAGGGGAGGCAGCAATAACTTCACCCGAGTGTGGTGCTCACAGAGGGACGTGGGAGATGGCTCCCCAGTCTGCACTATTACCCGGTCCCGTGGGCCTCCATTTCTGCATCTGTGGAGCATGCAGAATTCTCCTCACCACACCCTGCCTTACAGGCTGCCTCCAAAGTAGGTAAGAGAATATCCGGTAGGGCTTTCAGGAGAAAGAAGCTGACAGATACTACCAAGATTATAAGTTGTTGCCAACAACATATTTGCCAAATATGGTTAATTCAGGGGAAAGGAAAAATCCAAACTGCATGTCTAAGGCCAGTGGTTAGAATCACAACATTTAAAATCTAGACATCCCTTAAGTTATCTCGTCAATTCCCCTATATTCCTGCCCAAGTGGCCTGCCAGGTGAAAATGCTTAAAAGGCTCCTAGAACATAGCTATGATACACTGAGGTGAATAGTGTTCTCATAAGACTATTTAATGACATGGAAAATTTTCACAAAGCTATTTCATCACATGATACAGTATGAAGCCAAAATAAGTGAGTTATAAAACTTTACATGTATGAGGGAGAAATAAACTAGATTTTAATACAGCAACATAAATGGATCCTAAAAACACGGTGTTGGGTAAAGAAAAAAACAGAAAAAGAATACAGTGTAGGTCCATCATATAAACTGCAAAGATTTATAGCCATATTTGAAGTCATATGTTGCATTCGTAAGAGTGAATGGGGAGGAGGAAAAAAAGTAGCAGAACTCGTGAGAGGTCTGCATGGAACCCGTGATGCTAATGCACCCTGACAGAGGGGCGGGTGACTCAGCTCCACACTCACGGGCCAAACACCTAATCCAAAATACACCCTTCCGCTGGCCATGGATGGAGGCTGTTCCCGGGGCCTGTGTTAGCAAGTTCAATTACCAACACCGAAAAAATAAAAAAGAAATAAAATAAAATCCAGCCAAACAAAAGATAAATACAAATAAATATTATATATGGTAATGATCCTGTAAATTAATATTTGCACTGCAGAAAAAGACAATTTCACCAAACTATGGTTTTTCCTCTGGAAAGATCAAAATGGATATTTTTTTCTTCTTTCATTTGTCTGTTTTTCTGAACTCCCCCTAATTTTTACAATAAGAATTTCTTATACAATCACAAAAACCATAATAAACATCATTTCTAGAAAACTATAGCCATGGGGGCTGGGATGTACCTCAGCGGGACAGTGGTTGACTAGCATGTGCAAAGCTTTGGGTTTGATCTGCAACAGTGCAAAAGTGAAAACAAAACTGTCAAAAAAGTATAGCTATGAAAAGACATACCATGCAGTTATTTAAAAAATGAGGTATCCAGGTGCAGTGGGGGACTCCTGTAAAATTTGAGGCTGAGCAACTTAGCCAAGACCCTATCTCAGAGTGAAAAATAAAAAGGGGTGTGGTATAGCTCAGGGGTAGGGCACCCTGGAGTTTGATCCCCAGTATCACACAAAACATATATGTGATATATATATATATATGTGCAATGTATATAAATATGTTTGTGTGTAAAATATATGAGGGAGATTTACAGGTACTGAGAAGGTTATAGCATACTCTTCAGCTGAAAAAAATAAAAGCAAGGAATGATGTATTTATCGTGACCCTGTATTTGTGAAAAGTACCTAAGTTTATGTGTGTATATGTGGTATGTTTAATACACATGTATTCATACATGACTGTCTGTGGATAGAGAATGAGAATATAGGTTTTGAATTTTGGCTAAACATTAGAATCACCTGAAGAGCTTCTTTTTATTTTTCCAGTGCTGGGGCTTTTGAACTCAGGACCTGTGCACTAAGTAATTTTAAGACAGGGTCTCACTAAGTCACTAAGTTGCCCAGGCTGGGCTTGAATTTACGGTCCTCCCATCTCAACCTCCAAGAGTGCTGGGGTTGCAGGCCTGTGGCACTGTGCCCCACTCTGAAGAGTGTTTAAAAGTTCTGGGGCCAGGGATTCAGCTCAGTGGTTCCGCCGCCTGCCTCAAAAGCTCAAGGTCCCAAGTTTGATCCCCGGTAAAAAAAAAAAAAGTTCTCAACCCCAGGCCTCATCTCCAAACAGTGGTCACCTCTGGGGAGGGACCCAGCAGCATTTCTTTAAGGCTCCCAAGGCTACTTCGAGGGGCAGCTGAGGCTGAGGTACGGCTCTAGAAGGATCCACCCACTTCACTCTGCCAAGTAGAGGTTTGGGGAAGGGGTCTCCACTTTTTATTTCTCTAATGTTTGAATTTTTACACCACGTATTACTCTTACATTTAGAGTGAGCAGGAGAAGCCATAAAGAAAGGGACTGGGGAGCAGAGCTCCTGCCCTGGGTAGGCAGCAGCCATCAGTGTGTCCTGTCACCTACCTCAGGTGGCCTGCTATACAGGGTCACAGGACCCTCACTAAAGCCATTTGGCTTTTCTAGCACCACCTGTTCAAAGACAAATAAAACTGGCAGTTAAAACAATTTAACCAAGCAACCAACGTCAAAACATTATATTCCTAAGACTTCTACTCTTGAGCGAAAGCGAGAGGGAGGAGAAAGGAGAGAGGAACATTAAAGGCAGAAGGAAGAGAGAGGAAAGACAGGAGGGAAGGGAAAAAAGAGAAACAGGAGAGAAGAAAAGGAAGAAAGAGGTTTCCAGGGCTCCATGGGAAAGAAAAACCAGAGGTGGCTGGAAATGGGCTTTGAAAGGTAATTCTCTAACCTTGTGGGGAGAGAGAAACTTCAGGCTACAACTTACAGCAGACTGGAAAATATGTGAGGCCCATTCCTCCCAGGGATGCAAGCAGCTGCTTGCCAGGGTTTCCCTTGCCCATGGGGATCCTGACAAGGTTTGACAAAGCATACATCAAAAAGGGAAGCAGCTTTTGCTGTAATTATTTCCATCTCAGAGCCTGATCGCTCATCATGTGAGTGCTGCTCAGTGCAAGCATGGGGCCTGGCCAGGGCAGGCTGGTCTCCAGCACCCGACAAAGCACCTCCGACCAGCTAGAGGGGAGAACCAATGCCCCAGGTCCTGCCTCCAGCCAGAGTGAATGAATCAGGGAAAGAGCCATCACAGAAAGCTAATGCATGCATGCCCACCATAGAAGGGACACCCTCCAGGCCACAGCTCCTCCCTGGGGCATGGGGACAGGGGCTGCTAGAGAGGCCAGCCTGCCCCAACCAAAGTGCAAAGGAAGCAGACAGCTCAGAGCAGCTAGAAGAGGGCAGCCTATGACCAAGAGCCAGCTCCACTCTCCTGAGGACATTATCATCCTTGAATTCTGGAAAAGCTAAAAAGCGGGATCGCAGATGACCTATCTCAGCTAAGATCTATCCAATCTGTTTCTTACATTCACTGATGGCTTCTGCATCCCACACCCTGGGCCGGGCACAGTGGTGAATCTCCAGTTCAGGGATTTTCTTTTTTTGGTACCGGGGATCACTCTCGGGACCTTGCGCTTTCAAGGCAGGTGGCGGAACCACTGAGCTAAATCCCCGGCCCTCAAGTATTTTTCTCAACTCAGAGTAAAGATGGCTATATACACAATGAGCACTAGGTGAAGACCGAGGCTTTAATTTACTGGAGCAGGTGTTACCTAAATTTAGCAAGATCAGTTTATGAGAAGTTTGGATTTATAGGTGGTTTTCTGCTTTATGTGACTGCATTACTAGACTATTGATCACAAAATCTTTACAGATACAAGGTTTTGCTTGGTGTGGTTGCACAGCGCTTGAGAGGCTGAGGCAGGAGGATTGCTGTGAGTTTGAGGCCAGCCTGGGCTACACAGTGAGACTGTCTCAACAAAACAAAACAAAATAAAGTTTTGCCAATGAATGACTTACATGTGATTTACATAAATTCGATTTGGGGCAGTGTTCCAGAAGCAGGTGCATTCACAGGTAGGCTGGTAAGCGTAAATGCAAGAGTGCACCTGCTGGGAGCCCAGCCAGGTTTCGAGCTCCCGGAGAAGCCAGCACCCCCCACATCCTCTCCCTTCCCGGCACGGTGCTGAGTTCCACACCGTTCCCTGTCACCTGGAGCTCCTGTTGATGGATAGAGTCTTCTGGATCCCTGTCAAGCTTGCTGCTTATATCTTCCCGGAGCTTCTGCAGGCAGCTCCTGGCCTGGGAGGGGAGGAGGTGATATCTGAGGTTCAGGGTAGGAAAGGGAACAACCTCCGAACCCCATGCCCATCCCTAGCCCACACAACTACGAGGCTGGTGCTGTTCTAAGGACTGGCTGCACAGTCAGGTGCGGCAATGGCCCAGCTGCTCCAATGCAAGCTGCAAAATAGATGACTCCCCCCCACACCCCGCCCCGGGTGTACTAACATTCTAGCTGGGGAGACACCCAGCACAAAAGACAAAGAGTAAAACGTACGGCATGTCATATGGTAAGAAGTGCTGGGGAGGGACTGGGAAACACTGGGAAAGTGGCTGACAATACAGTATTAGGTGCAAGGCTGGGGGTGCTAGCAGCTTCATAAGCACTCAACTAATAGACTGGATCAAAGAGGGGCCAGGGATTTAGCTCAGTGGTTTCACCGCCTACTGTGCAAGCGCAAGGACCCAAGTTCAATCCCCGGTATCAAAAAAAAAAAGACTGGATCAAAGGGTCAAAAATAATCTATGGGACATGACAGGGCATGGCAACACTTCAATGTTATAAAAAAAATGAAGGGGAAAAGAATCTATAAATGAAGGGAACCCCCAAAATGTAAAGTTTAGAGAACTGGTATAGGGAAGGGGCACCCACCTCCTGGATGTACTGGACCTCACTCTTTAGCTGGTTAATATTCTTCTCATGGATCATCTTGTCTCCTGACCGTCCCTTCAAGTACACCTGAAATGGGGGAAATGACACCAGTTAGCTAAGCCACCTCAGGGGAAATGAATTCACACAACACACAGCCTCATATACTGATGGAAGGAAAGTACAGTTATTACCAATTGACTGGCTAGCAGTTCAGTGATTCAGAGCAGAAGAGTTGAGAATAATATAGTGTATTTACTCGTGGACTTGGGTCTACTTCTGTAAATTTATTCTAATCCAAAACATTTAACTAAATAATATATAATTGTTGACATAAACACACACACATATAATCTTTTACGTCTGACTTCTGACTTCCTTCACTCATTTTTTTGGTTTTCTTTTTGTATTAGGGATTGAACCAGGGCCTTCCCACCAAGCTACATCCTCGGTCCTTTTTTAATGTTTTTATTTTGAAACAGGGTCTCCCTAAGTAGCTAAATTGCCCAATGTGGCCTTGAACTTGATCCTCCTGCTTCAGCCCCCCAAAGTGTTGGGATTACAGGTGTGTGCTATCATGCCTGGCTCAACACTGAAGTTTTTAATTTTGCTCAAGTTCTGTTTATCTAGTTTTAGTCTTGTTGTCTGTGTGTTCAGTGTTCATACAGATGAAGGCTTTGCCTAACCTAAAGTCACAAAGATTTATGCTCATATTTTCTTTACGAGTTATACTTTTAGCTCTTATGAGGAGCTCCATGATCAATTTTGGGCCAATTTTTGTATATACTACGAGGAAGGGGTCCGACTTCATTTTTTGTTGTTGTTGTTTTTTGGTACCAGGGATCGAACTCAGGACCTTGCACTTGCGAGGCAGGTGGTGGCACCACTGAGCTAAATCCCCAGCCCTCGACTTCACTTTTTGATATCGAGTACTCAGCACAATTTGTTGAAAAGATTATTTTCCCCCACTGAATTGTCTTGGTACTCTTGTCAAAAATCAGTTGAGTATATTATTATGCTATTATTATTGAAGTCTTAATTTTATTCTATTGATCTACATGTCTGTCCTTATGCAGATACCATCCTCTGTGCGTGTGTGTGTGTGTGTTTTACTGGACCTTGAACCTAGGGCTTTTGCACTGAGCTACACCCTTAGCCCTTTTTTATTCTTTATTTTTATTTTGAGACAAGATCTCACACTAAGTTGTTAAACTGACCTGGCTGGGTTTGAACTTGCCATCCTCCTGCCTCACCCTCCTAGAGTGCTGGGGGTTACAGGTGTATGCTACCACACCCAGCATGTCATATGGACCCAGCTCACTCTGAATTGGTTACCACAGCTGTGAAGTAAATATGGAAATTGGCAAATATGAGTCCTGTGGCCTTTTTCTTTTTCACAGTTTTTTTGGCTATTCAGGGTTCCTTGTATTTCCATATGAATTTCTGGATTAGTTTATCAGTTTGTACAAAGAAAGCAGCTTGGATTTTGATAGGAATTATTCTGAAATTGTCGGTTAATTTGAGTATGCCACTAACAGTATAGAGTCTTCCAATTCATGAAAATAGGATGTTCACTATTTCTTTTAGTTCTTCTTTGATTTCCTTTAACGTTTTGTAGTTTTTATAATACAAGTTGTTATAGCTTGGGTCTAGATGTCCCCGCAAAGCCTCACGCGGTCGAAAGTGGCTTTTTCAGAGGTGGCTGAATCTAGAGTGTGCAACTGGGATTAAGAGCTTGTGATTACTAAACTATTACAGATTGGTTTGGTAATATTTTACTAACTTGAATATGTGTCTTATAATATGAGTAATACAGAAATAGTTTCTCAGTTGATTCAAGGGTGGTATACAGAACAAAGTATTTTTTAGTTTTGTTTGGTGACTGATTAAGACAAGGTCTTTCTATATAGTTTAGGCTGGCCTTGAACTCCAGGTGATCCTCCTGCCTCAGCCTCCTGAGTTCTGGGGTTACAGATGAGCACCATCATGTCCAGCTTTGTGTTTGTTTGTTTGTTTCGCTTTGATGTTTTTTTGAGACAGAATCTCACTATATAGTTCAGGCTGGCCTCGAACTTGAACTCACAGTGACCCTCCTGCCTCAGCCTCCCAAGTGCTGGGATTACAGGTGTGTGCCACCAGGCCCACTTAGTGTATATTTATTGAATGAAATAATGAAATGCTCTGGAATTAAAAGTGGTTGAATATTATAAAAACCACTGAATTGTATACTTTAACTGGGTCAGCTGTCTGGTGTGTGAATTATATCTCAAAAAGCTAATTTATATTTCTTTTTCTTTTTCAAAATGCTACTTTTTGAAAAGAAATAAGGGCTGGGATGTAGCTCAGTAGTAGAGTACTTGCTTAGCATGTATGAGGCCCTGGGTCCAATTCCCAGGACCACATACACACATAAAGAAATGAGAGAAATAACAAGAATTATTTTAAATTTTGTTTATTTATTTATATAGTTGTTTTTGGTTTTTTTGGAGACAGAGTCTTAGTACATAGCTCCAGGCTGGCCTCAACCTTGTGATCCTCCTGCCTTAGCCTGTTGAGTGCTGAGAGAACAGATGTGAACCACTATGCTGGGCTAAAAGATTTTCTTAATCCTACAAGTGGGTTCCATAGCCAGGCATGGTGACACACACCTATAATCCCAGACACTTGGGAGGCTGAGGCAAGAGGGTCTTGAGTCTGAGGCCAGCCTGGCCAACTTAGGGAGAGAGCCCGTCTCAAAATAAAATTTTAAGCATTTTTTTTTGGTACAAGGATCGAACTTGGGACCTTGAGCTTGCAAGGCAAGCACTGGAACCACTAAGCTAAATCTGCGGCCCTCAAAATAAAAGTTTAAAAAGAGGCTGAGGACATAGCATGTGTGAGGTCCTGGGTTCAATCCCCAGTACCACACACACATACACACACACACACACACACACCAGATAAAATAAATTCCATAAATGCACCCCCAACCTTGTCTACAACCTGCAGCAGCTGAGAATAGGTACAGCGGACAGGCACCTAGAAAAGTCACCCCCACGCCCACTCCCCAGGGTCACCCCATGCCCACTGTTGTCTCCTGCTGTTAGCATCTTTCCAGGAGACGGCCAGGAACCAGCATCTCAGGTCTGGTTCCTTCCAGGAAAACTGCAACCTCCCCCTTGCATGCTTGGAGGGCGAAAGAGGAGGCAAGCTAAGCTTACCTTAATGATCTCCTCGTGTCCGTCATTGGACTCCACCAGCTCTGAGGCCAGAGAATGGCCAGCTGGGCGGCCGGACACCATGATGTGGGTCTTCCTGCCCGCCTGTCAGATACAGAAAGGCGGCTCATGAACCAAACCTAAGCCAGAGCCTCTGCCCCTGCCCCTGCCCCTGCCCCTTGAAAGACATGAAGTGTCGGTCTGACTTCTCCTCCAGAAACTCATTTGAGAACCTCTACCAAAACCTACACAGCATCAGGAACACCAGACGGGGGAGTGTTAGTAGAAGCTGCGGGTGAGCTTTGGTTTTAGTGGGGATCTCCCGCCCCTCAAGCAGCACACAGTGGTGAGCTCAGCTGGATGCTCCCAAGCTGGTGGGAGCAGAGGTGGCCAAGGCAGCACCGAGCTGAGGACCAGCAGCAGGAAGGGGGACAGCTCCCCACCAGAAACCTCAATACCTGCTGGGCTACGAGCTCAAGTTCCTCTCCTGTCAGTTCACGCTGGAGAGTCAGCCTGAGAATATCCACGCTGCCCTAATGTAATGACAACGACAGCAACAAAAACCCTTACTTTCGCTGCCTATGGGCACAAAGTACTCCTGGCGCCTCTGCACAAATTACTCTCCGGGGTGCCTCTGCCAACACTGTGCCTTGGGTCTTATTGTCCACGGACAAGTCACAGACAAGGGAAGCTGGGGTCCGAGAGGGGTTGTCAGCTAGCTTAAGGTCAGTGCACTGGGGTGCCAGCGTGCCGAGGCCAGCTGACAGCACTCTCTCCTCCATGCCACAGACCGTACAGCAGCCTGGCCATCCTGCCTTGGCGGAGCTCCCCTGGTTCTAGGGCTACAGGAAGCACTTTGCACAGACGGGCTCTCCCCAATCAGGGAGGGTCACCCCTGGATGGGTGCACCTGAAAGCCAGCCAGCCAGGAAGTGACGGACATGCCTTACAAGGTTAGAATGTCCAGGGCTGGGGATTCAGCTGAGTGGCACCATGCCTGCCTTGCAAGCACAAGGTCCTGAGTTCGATCCCCAGTACCGCAAAACAAACACACACACACACACACACACACACACACACACACACACACACAGCAAGGTTAAGATGTCCTTCTTGAAGCAAATTACAGTTGGCAGCTAGAGATCGGGAAGACAATAACACTTCGAGGGTCAACAAGGCAGAGTGGACCAAACCCTGCCCATAGCCTGTGCTCTGTGTGCAGGGGGACAAGGGGCTCAGCCACACTTGACTTCTGGTTCCCACTGAAAAAAGGAGGGTTTGGACTGCGGAAGTCTTGGGCTCCTTCCTGCTCCCACACTGGGACAGCAGGAGGGCGTGGTCTACTGAGCTATCCAAGGACAACAGTAACACTTCGGTCATCTGGTCTTTTCCTGCCTGGAAGCCTGGCATAAATGTGATTTGGCCCTGAGAGGTTTCAAACTTTCCAGATGTCTGGAGAAGACAATCTGCCGGTTGGTGGAGAAAGTTGGTCTTGGATCCCGTACCTAACTCTCGGGGTGGTCAGGCTGTGAGCTCTTCATGCTCTTTCTTAGCTGTCAAATGGACGACTGCCACCCAAGAGGGCCTTCTGAAGACAGCCTGGAATGCAAGGGGCCTGTTGTTTCTCAAACAGGAGCCAGACTCTCAAACACCAGCCTCCTCCACTTCTTGGAATGGACCCAATGTCCCCATCCCGCCAAGCAGCCAGTATTTACAAAAGCACGTAACCCTCCCGTGACAGCCAGATGCTCACTCAGGTCCACACGAGGCTCTGCAGTCAGGCCAGCTCCTCTCTCACCACTGCACCCAGTACATCCTGTGCTTTCCAGCTTCAGTCGTTACCATCACTTCCTTTGCCCAGAAACTCCTCCCTCCAGCATTCACGGGGCACTCCAAGTCCTTTCCCCTTGTCCTGTGGGTGAACCTCCTCAGCACCACGGGCCGCCCTTGGCATCACCTCTCAGTTATCCGTGCTCCCCGAGACACTGCCCCTTCCACTGTTATCTCTTTGAGGGCCTCTGTCTGCTGCAGCCCTCAGCACCAGTAAGCGTTTCTGAACGCAGTGAATGAGAGAACGTTACATGAAGAAAGAAGAGGAAATGATGTCAAAATAGCCAGGATGGCTGCTAATGCTTCTCACCCAGGACACACTATCTCGCTGGGCATAGCAGGGCACGCCTGTAAACCCAGCTACTTGGGAGGCCAAGGCAGGAGGAGCCAGCCTGGGCAATATAGCAAGATCCTGTCTCGAAATTTACAAATAAAATGAAAAAGGGCTGAGGAAGTAGCTCAGCAGTAGTGTCCCTGGGTTCAATCCTCAATATCACAAAAACAGACAGCATTTCTCACATCCTAGACAGTTGAGAAGTCAGGGCAGGGGATCTTAGAACAAACAAGCCATTAGCCAATGCCCCCTAATTCTGTAGCTTGCTGAGGAGTGGCTCTGATTTGAATTTGATGTCCCACTGGCTTGGGTGGTACACGCATGATGGCCCCATTAGGTGGCCTGAGCCATAGGAAACAGAGCCTGATCTTGTCTGTGATTACAATAATGCAAAGAAAGGCGCTGACTTAGCAGACCAGATGCCATCGCATCATAGTTCCTTAAGGAAAACATTACAACAGTATAAAAAATCGTAATACAGCTAATTTGTGGTACAGCAGTTGTACATGCATGATTACATTTGGGCAGTAATTATTCAAATTCAAGCAACTAACTAGATTCAGTCCATTTATAGACTTTGTATTAATTTTATTAGTAAAAACAGCAATATAATGATTCGATCCATTTGTACCACCAGTGGTACAAGCTGCTGATAGGAGTCTTGCGTGTACCAACAGCGTTTCAAGCCCAAAGGAACGTCCGGTTTGTTTGACAACTAGGCTGGGTGGGGGCCCTGGGAGATTATCTCACCCATACGTGGGGTCACAACTCCAGCTGGAGTAGAGAAAAGAACTGAAAAAATACTCAAAGAAACAACAGCTGAGAAATTCCCTTCCCAAACTAGGCATAAGCTAGAAGTCTACACAAATCTAAGAGGCCAAGCAAACTCCAAACAATAAAATGCAAAGTTCATGTCATGATATGTCATACATTGTTGCTAACTAAAGATAAATTTTAAAAATCTTAAAAGCAGGGCCAGAGATTTAGCTCAGTGGCTTCGCCGCCTGCTGCGCAAGTGCAAGGACCTGAGTTCGATCCCTGGTACCAAAAAAAAAAAAAATCTTAAAAGCAGCCAGAGAGAAAAAGAAAATCTTTCTTAAAGAGGCAAAACAATTTGAATGACAGTAGATTTCTCATCAGAAATGCCAGCCATCAGGGGCTGGGGATTTAGCTCAGAGGTTCCAGCTCCTGCCTTGTAAGCACAAGGTCCTGAGTTCAATCCCCAGTACCAAAAAACTAACAAACAAAAAAGAAATGCCAGAAACCAGAAGAAAGTGGCATAATGTTTTTCAAGAGTTAAAAGGAAGAGGGATGGGGATGCAGCCCAGTGGCACCTTGCCTGCCTGGCAAACGCAAGGTCCTGAGTTTGATCCCTAGGAGTGAGAGAAAAAAAAAAAGTTAGGCGACCCAAGTTTGATCCCCGGTACCAAAAAAAAAAAAAGAAGAAGAAGAGCTGTGGATTGAAAACCCAATCCCCAGGAAAAACATCCATCTGGTCTGAGAAGTAAGTCATGACATCCTCAGAGGGAGGAAATTGGGGAAACTTTCTCACCAGCAGACCTACACCAAAGTATAGCTTCAAAAGTTATCTAAACAGAAAGTAAACAATAAGTAAACTTTGAAACACTGCAAAGAAACATAGAAAATAAAATACAAATAAATACAATAAGGTTTCCATCTCCTCTTAGATTTTCTGAGTTACGTCTGATGCTTGAAGATGAAATTATAACACCATCAGATGTGGTTTTAAATGCATACAGAGGAAATATTTAAATGAGTATTAGGAATGGGAAAGAGTAAAGGAATAGAAAGGTTTCTCATTTTTTTCCATACTGGGGATGGAACTCAGGCCCTTGTGCTGGTGAGGCAGGCGGCGGCACCACTGAACTAAATCCCCGGCCATGGAAAGGTTTCTCTTTATTCACAGTGATAAAATGATGACACTAAAAGGCAGTAATATGTATATCTAACGTCAAACCCAGAGCAGCCACTAAAAAGGTCACATACCCAAATATATAAAATACATAAACAGAATTCTAAAAAGTATTCAAGTAACCCACTAGAATACAGGAAAAAGAAATACAGAGAAACCAAATTCAAAAAGAAAATGGCAGACTTACCATACAATAATTACATTAATAGTAAGTGGTTTAAACATACCAATTAAAAAACATTGGTGAGGGGCAGGAACGAAGCTCAGTGTGGCACAGTGCCTGCCTGGCAAGCGCAAGGTCCTGAGTTCCAGCTCCAGTACCAACCCCTCCCTCCCAAACCAAAAACCAAACACCAAAAAACAACGGTGCCTCCTATAGTCCCAGCACTGGAAGGCTGAGGTAGGAGAATCACTTGGCCCCAGGAATCCAAGACCAGCCTGGGCAACAGCAGGAGCCCCTGTCTCAAAAAGTAAGTAACAGGGACTGGGGATTTAGCTCAGTGGTGCCCTCGCCTGCCTTGAAAGCGCAAGATCCTGAGTTCAATCCCTGGTACCAAAAAAAAAGAAAAAAAGAAAAAAGGGTAATGAGTGGAAATTTTATTAAACTTATAAAAATATAAAGGTAAGGCCCGGGGATTTAGCTCAGTGGTTCCAGCGCCTGCCTCGCAAGCGCAAGGTCCTGAGTTCGATCCCCAGCACAAAAAAATATATATATATATATAAAGGTAAGATGTGCAAGTATGGTCACATTTGAATTGCTAGCAATGGAAAAATACTAGAAACTCGGATGACCCACTGATTAAAAATGAGTTCATTAACACTAAGTGTTATTAGTACAACGAACTAACCATTTGGCTATGAAAATAAATGAACAATGTACAATGACATGAATAAATCTTAAATTATGTTAAGTAGAAAAACAACCTATAAAATACAATTCAAAACATCCCCTGGGCTGGGGATTTAGCTCAGTGGTTCCGCCGCCTGCCTCGCAAGCGGAAGGACCGGAGTTCGATCCCTGGTACCAAAAAAAAAAACACACAAAAAAACCCATCCCCAGTAGGCTATCTATCATTTGAACATGCAGTAAAAAAATAACAAAGCAAGGGACATGTTAGTTACAAGATCCAGACCCATGTGCAGAACAGTTCCCAAATCCCTGCACGTGGACTCTCCTGAGAAGTCCAGCAGGTTTTCAATAGGATGGCCTGGACCTGAAGTCAGCCTGGACCTGACCTCAGCCTGAGGCCTAGGAGACCTGCACTGCCTCTCGGGACCCAGATGTCAAAGTTCTCGGGGTTTCCTTGAGACTTGTACTGCATAAAGGGCACATGACAGTCCGCCCTGTGTCCTCCAAGGTGTACTTTTATCTTGCTTTTTCCTTTTTTACTCAGCCCAAGCTTGCTCCCCAGAGCCAGTTTTTCCCTTGCTCTTCAC